AGAGCATTCATGAAGAAACAAGATAGTTCTAGAAACGTGGCGTCATAGTGGTCATGTGACTCGCTGACGCAACAATACGATTTTTCTTTTTAAATCGCCAAAAAAAATATTGAATAAATAACAGCAAATTTAACACAGATTTCATAGAATGTACTGAAAAACGTACAAAGACTTTTTGTATGTTGTTGCGTTAATTACATTAGATTACGATGATGTCTTAATTTAAAGCTAATGAGTTATTGTTTCCTATACTAGACGACTGTGAACTGAGTTCTACCAGCGATACCTGCCCCCGGTTCTCTTCTTAACATCAACCATAAAGACATTTTAAGTACAAGTATCAAAGAAGATAACTCTGCACTTTACACTGCTGAAGAACTGTCTTATTGTCTCTGTAGGAATTTGAACACACCAGCTTTATCATCATGTTTCAAGAATCCGCTAAGCTCTGTCATGCCCCTCTCTTTTACTACCTTTCCACCCATAAGTTCCAGTAAGAGTAATTAGAAGCCTTAATTATATAATATATCTAACAATATACAGCACCTTACAGAATATTTCCTCACCTGAACAAGCAGCTATACATTCCGCTTCACTATCGAATCGGTTTCCGTTTCCCCTACAGCCTCCGTATATAAAATCGTGACATAATCCAGTGAGAGGTTCATAGTAATACTTCAAGAAGTATCCGTAACAAATCCCACTGTCTTTTGGGGCCGTGCAATCAGTTGGCTGAGCTGTGAAGTTAGAGACATGGAATTAATGCTACAACAACGCGTTTCTATGGCTATCTGTTTTCTTTTAAAAACAGCTTGATAGCAAAAATTAAACATCTGTTTGTGGAGGGAGGGCTGTTATTAGTTTCGAATGTCAATTAAAAACAGTTTATTAAATGCATTGCATTTTTGTATGAAATCGTAATTTGGGTAGATTATAAGAATTAATTGTCAAAACTAATAAATAACCTTCCACCTTTTCATAGATATATTTTATTTTTATTATACTCTTAACTCTGTGTTGATATTTTATCAAATATTAATTCTGATTAAAATGTTTGACACCTATCTAGTCTTCCAGAAATAATATCAAACCTAATGCTAATTAAGATAACCACTATATTACAATTTGTTAATTAACTTTCCATAACTTAGGTTTTAGTATAATTTTTCTAACATTAAGAGGGGTGTGAGTATATTGTTTGTTATCTTTATTAAATAATTTTAAAATAGTGTATTTATCAATGATATTTATGAAGCCAAAGTACTTTGTCCCATAGACTAAATAAGGCCATTGTTAGAAACAAAAATATATCGTAGTTGTGATAACGGTTACAGATTGAACTAGTTTTAAAAATCAGAAAAAGAGTATTTTGTTTGTAGTCTAAAATATCACATGCGATATTTAACACAAATCAAAAAGCTTTATCTAACTGTAACTATTGAAACATGTATACTCAATAAAGAAGTAACAGATGATTAAACGAAAGATCGTCTTACCTTCCTCTATTGAGAAGCAAGAAACCAATATCACTATAAGTAATAAAAGGTTTTTGTTACCCATTCTTGCTGTGTAAAAGGGTAGATTTCAGTGAAAGTTTGCGTGCTTGCCATATATATATATGTAGTTTGTATGTACCACGAACATCAATAATTGCACTGCTATCCAACAATAGAGCTTATGTTTACACAGCGAAAACACTCGTGCCAAGGTTTATGGGTTTTTTTCAACTAACAACTTTAGTAGGAAACAAGGATAAAATATCAGTTTTTCCTCGAACATTCTCCAGAGTGTAGTTGTATTCACTGCAGCTGGGATTTTTAATAGCTGGAAAAACAAAGAAAGTCGTGTAGATTTTTAATTTTACTTATTAATTTCTTTTCACTTTTCTTATCTATTCATTTGTATATTATCACATCCACTTTTTGTGATACAAATTGTCTTAGCTAAATTGGATGATTGAGAAACTTTTTTGATTTAGATTATTAGAAAAATCCGTATCTCTGATTGGCGTATTTTGATATTTAATAACACACGTTTTACTCAATCTTTTTTAATCTGACATCTTTGGGGAAAGAAAAAGATGTTCATAGATTTTTTTTAAATGTAACGAACTGCGTAATTATAAAAGGTTTAATATATGATTGCTTCTGTTACTTCCCAAGAATGTTCAGTTACGTTTAATCTCAGTAAGTAACATTTGAAGTTTCAAATGTTTTTACACCATTATTGTACTTCTGCTGTTATATATCAATGAAACCACAACCAACGATATGGATTTCACAAATGCACAAAATGATAAAACAAAACAGAAAACTCGAGATCTTCTAACACACCAGAAAAATTTTTAAAATCAGCCGGTTGGCATAAATCAAAGTTAATCGGAGCTTTGAATAACGCATAGGGTTATTTATGGAAGGTCTAATCATTATTTTAATATTTCAACAGAAATACAGTATTCATTCTAGTGGCGAGCTGCGGGTGAATACAGCTGCTTTATTTTATGTCAAGGTAAACTCCTTATATTACCTGATAATGAGCTTAAGTAATATTTGAGTTTAAAAAAAAACGTCCATGTGGTAATGACGAACAAAAGAGTCGAGCTTGCATCTGGTATGTTTTCCAGTGACACATCCGTGTATTTTTACAAAGAATGGAGTAATAGGGGATTCTGCTTTCAACCATGCCAAATAATGTAATACGTCACTAATGAATCACTGTACTTTTGGAATACTAAAAATTAGATTTTTAAAACAAGCAATCAAATTTTGTTTTTATTTTGCTTAGTAAATAGCCTACTAGTACTTATAAGTATATCTAAGTCTAGATAATTATTTCATGACTACTAAAACCTATACACGAACTCCTTAACGTTTACCCAAAAACGCATTGTTACGACAGCAGCTGGTAACACGTAATGAGTTCTAGAA